AAATAAACATATTTTTTATAATTGATACTAGAGCATCTATAAACCGCTCCTTCTGAATGAGCTTTCAAATGAATCAGCGAATCAGAAGCGCGGCCGAGGCGTGGCGCACACCAAGGCAGGGGATATCAGTGCAAGCATGCTCGAAGCTTTCTAACACATCCTAAATTGCTTTCCCTGGAGGTTACGGCCAGTGAAACCTAAAAAAAACCCGCGTTTTCAAGAAAATGGCTTGAAGAATGCCCCTCCAACTAATTTTTTAACTGCTGACTTTTCAGGAACGTTTGGGTACTTTTTAGAAAGCTTGAATCCTGTAGTTTGTCATACCGTGTTCAGCTTCCCAAATTAATGAGTTTGAAGATCAGCAAACGCGCTCCAACGCGATTCAGCGTAATTCAGCACATTCAAAACGCGATCAATACGCATTTCCATTCCTTTGCTACCTCTACTTTTTATATTATTGCACCTATTATTGCACCTATCGGTTAAGGGGAGGGGGATGTGGTGCGACAGTTCATATCGCGTGAAGTTATCCACTTTTTTGCAGGGGAGGGAAGCTCCGGGGTGGGTGTAAAAGTTTAGCGAAATGGTCCACGCACCCAGGGGATTCCCTCCCCTTGCACACAAGTATTACATACAGGGGGTCGTATCAAATCGCCCATGAAGGGGGGGGGGTCGTAAAAAAATTCCAAAAAGTGCCAACGATAGGATTGACCCTGTCTGTGACTGGCCTCTAAAGGTCTATCCTACAGACCGGAGAGAATCGTTCCACGGCTCTTGCCTGGGTTCTGCATTCAACTGTACAAAGGTCTGAAACCTCGGCGATAAAAAAATCATCATAGAATATAAACTTGTTACGAAGAGATCAACAAAACTTGTTAGCGATGAGTGAATGACATTTTAGAGAATGAATGGGTTTAGAGCTTTGTTCGTAGAGAAGTTCATCACTTAAGAAAGAAAAACGGAATAGCGAGATCGTTTTGATTGCTCTGGTTCTCATATGAGCCCTTTTTCAGTTCACAGCCCTCCATTATGCGGCTAAGTATGGTCACGTAAAAGCGGTCGACCTGCTGCTGAAAAAGGGAGCTGCGGTTGACGTGATTGGAAGAGATCAGTTCACTCCGCTGCACGTCACAGCCAAGTACTGCCGTCCTCTCGCTCTTCTACATGGTGCTCCAACAGAAAGTCAGCCTGAATCTGGTCACATTCAAGATAATTTTCTCGTTCCCACTTTCTTCCTTTCCTCACAGATAACTAAGAAAGATTCAATACATTTTATGCTTTCAGGGTCGTCCGTTTCGCAGTTCATCGACGCATCCGCGCACAGCGTTACTCCTCGCCATATGACAGCCGACGTCACGACCGCAATAGTGGATCTACTCGTGGGACGTAAGGCGTAAGTTCGAAGCTCCTAACAGTCAACAACCTTCAGAAACCTGTGCTTTTCCAGAGATGTAAATGCAAAAGATGCCTATGGAATGACACCGCTCCACCATGCGGCCATGAAAGGAAACGAGCCTGCCGCCAAGGCTCTCATGAAACACCATGCCGACGTGAATGTGAGTTGGTCAAACAGCCTATTATATTCAGTGAGAAAGTAGTGAGCTACTTGTGTGAAGCATCAGGACATGCTTGCGAATTGGCCCATTCTTATAGACACCAAACAATGTGCCCGACCTTGGTATGGTATGAAAGTACCCATTATAAAAGCTCACGTGGTTTTTTTCTGAAGAAGCGATTTTGTTGTGATTGGACTCAGAGTTGGAAACAAAGCGATTTTATAAGGTTGAGCGGATATTACTTACCGTTTTAATTCCACACATGGGTTTATTAGCAAAACCAAACAAAAACAACAACAAATGATTGATCAACAAACGCTCTCGAACAGTCCTCTCTGCAACCGTGCCTTCATCCCAGGCTTCATTGATTCTACGAGCAGATGCAGAAGCATTCGGTTTCGAGCTCAACTTACAGCATGAGCACTTTTTGCTCGCGTGTAAGTTCTATAGTGAAGCAAATACACAAGTATCCCCTGCTCCAGAGCACCAGAAACGTGTCGAGTGCAGAATACGCACCACAAATGACGACAGCCTCCAAGTAAATCTGTAACTAGTGATTCATAGTGATAGCTGATTTTGGTAAATGAGTTGTAATTAGTGACAACTGATAGAATCAACTGCAACAGGCTAATCATTTCATTGGCAGAAAACATTAACATTTTGTAGAGGCCGTCGCTTTGCGGCAGTGTCTTCTGCAACTCGCGCGCTTCCGTTGTGTGAAGGATACTATATCTGTATCAAATACAACAAACAGCACGCCTTTGACTCATAATAGAATCCTCGAACTAAACCAACGAAAATTGACGAAAGGCTGAGCCTCGAAATTAGTAAATAGGACGATTTTTCGTCCAAGCCTGTAGTTTTTTGCGTTTAATTTACAGAATTCTTTTGACTTCTGAAATTTTCTATTAATACTGTATTTTTTTCTTGACTTGGGCGGAAGTGGTGTAGTGACAAGTGGCACGCTTACCACGCGAGCGGTCCGGGATCAAATCCTGGGTCGTGAGTCGCCCGGGCCAACCAAGCCTTCCATCCCTCCGGGGTCGGTTAATTGGTACCAGACTTGTCTGGGAGGATAAAAACACTGACTTGTACATCGGCTGGCCCCCGCAAGTCATTGTATAGGCCACATCGCATTCAAACGCCACTACGAATGTACAAATGGAAGTAGAATGCGTGCCGCATCCCAAAACAAGGGATTGATCAACGGCAAATGCTTTATCCTTTATTCCTTTTTATCTGTTCATATTTGTGAATTTCGCTAACACCCTATTGCATAGAACGCCCGTAGGCCTTGAGCAGAACGCAAGAATCATCCTAGAAGCAAAAGAAATAAAATTAGTTCAATAAGAAGCAGCATAAGGTCCAAGTGCCTTCTAACTGTTACCGCGAGTGAGAGTCCGCAGCCAGAAAAAGCATTAGCTAAATGAGGTGCTCCAAAAAATCGTCTGGACAACGTTTGCCTTCAACTCGAATCCTGGCTCAATAAGGACTAGACTAATAAAATAAGTGTGTACGTGCCGTGCCTTGAGACGGTGCCCCCCCCCTATTATCCTTCCCTCATTCCTTGTGCGATTTTTTGTAGAGCCTCATTCTGATCCTGCCTTTGCGCTACTAAATTTCTACCATTTCTCTGCAGTACCTCTATCTATGAAAATTTTCTTTCAACATCACTTATTTATTCAGGCTAAGGCTGTGAAAAGGAACGACACCCTTGTGCTGACGGCGTGCGTCCACGGATCCGACGAAATCATCCAAATGCTTTTATCAAACGGAGCCGACACGTCGGGTACCGACAGAAGGATGAATTCCGTTTATCACATAGCAGCCCACCATGGACGAACTGACACACTGAAGTTATTGCTTCAACATGGTACTCGTATAGGCAGATAAGTTGCCTCAATAGCAATTACTTTATACGAGATATTCTTCATAAGTGTAGTCTTCGATAGATTGGGTTTCAGTGCTCGAAAGGCTACGGTGACCCATTCATCATGTTGTGCACTCGAAACACCTTTTCCCTGTGATTACCAATCATGTCTGAATAGAACGTAGAGGACAT